TCTTTTTTAACCTTGGCCAACTCTGAGTTGGACACAACTTGTTTGCAGTGAGTGATCTTTTAAATAATAAGACTATACAGGAGGAGGGAGTGGGGAGGGAAGAGAAGGGGAAAAAGGAAAATGAGGAGCTGATTCCAGGAACCCAAGAGGAAAACGAATTTTGAGAATGATGAGGGCACCAAATGTATAAGTGTGCTTTACACAATTGGTATATGTATGGATTGTGATAAGAGTTGTATGAGCCCCAATAAAATGATTTTTTTTAAAGACTATACATACCTATGTGTTACTCTTTCTAAAAAGATGGCATTTTACAAATGCAATATCAATGATCCAAGCAAAATCACAAATGCTCATGTATAATGATGTTTCACAATTGCTCCTTAGTCAACTACATTATTTGATGGAAAATAGACTAAATGGTTTTACATTCATTTTATTTAGATTTGACCAAGACATTCTGATTTATGATTTTAAAGAAAATGTCTTTCTCAGTTAATTTGGGACACACCCTTCACACTCACGCCACCGCGCACACCCTCCCACACATACATCCCTACCCCAGAAGTTTCAACCTCATTTTTCATCATATGCATTTTAAGTCTCAATAAAAATTTATATTAACTACAAATACGTGGTAAAATGTAACTATATCTCTACTATTTTGAAGAAGTATATCATATGGTATACATACCTCCCCATTTTCCTTCTGTAATTTTGATTTTATGGATAAGCAACAGTTAATATCATTGGTTTTTCTTAATTCTGAAAGAAAGTTTCAATTAAAAATCAATTTAGTTACTAGTTGCCATTATCAAATATTAAAGGCCATTATCAAATATTAAAAAATACCCGGTAGGTAATGCTAACCTTTGTGAGAGAATTAATAAATAATTTGGAATGATATTATAATGGAAGGTTACCAACTTCACATGAGCTTTTCTGTTATCAATAAAATTATAAAGATTCTCACTACATATTTTAATGCATCTACTTTGTTTCCATTATCAATAAAATTATAAAGATTCTCACTAAATATTTTAATGCATCTACTTTGCCATAGCTATGCTTTTTAAATACTCAGTTGATCTAGCAGTGTCACAATGCATGGAAATATTTTCACAATAGCAAATGACAACATTTTATTCATGAATTTAAAAGGTAAATTTGTACATTAAAAAACCCATAAAAAGCATATAATAATATGCTTTAAATAGAAAAACTATATGGAAAAACCACATTTATTGATACTGAAGACAAATGTCTATCATAGTGGCTAAGGGGGAAAGATCTGCCTATATTTAAAAAAAATATATTAGCCTAGAAGAGAAAACACTAATATTCCTATTACCTGTTGCTATTCGATGAAAAATTACTGGAATTGGTTCTGTAGTAACTAATACATCTTCATCGTTTTCTGAACTTGACACATATGTATTATCTGCAAAGAAATAATGGGTTATTATAAGTATTATACTTTGAAATAATGTCATTTACTTAAAAAAAAAGTTTAGGTTATGTCCAAATCACAAAGCACACACTGCTGTTCTGATAAAACTCAGGAAAAAAAGGAAGTAGATAGCACATATGTGTCTATTTAATTCTAAATGACCTTCTTACAGATGCTTGCATCTCCTAGAGAATGATAGGAAATTCAGGCTAGCCAATTGAATTTCTAATAATCCCAGGTGTTATGTAAATGCTTACTCCAAATCACTGAGCAAGCTCCTTCCCAACTTCCCAAATCACTGAGCAAGCTCTACCACCACAGGCAAATTCAGTAGTCGAAGGAGAAGGCAAAAAGAAGGACTAGATGCCATCAACAAGATTTAATACCCAGCCATTCAAGAATTTGAACAGTTGATGTCATTGTGAACCATATCTCCCTTATTGCTCTAATAAAACTCAATGCTCAAATAAATAAACAAATAAATAAATAAATAGAGCTTTATAGCTCTAGCAAAATTCACAGTAACCTACAACCCAACACTTGTCCGTCAGTTTGCCAAATTACGGTAACTGGTCTATTGCTGTGATGCTGGGAGCTCTGTCACTGGTATTTCAAATGCCAGTTGGGTCACCGAGAGTGAACAGGTTTCAGTAAAATTGGGTTGCCGACTTGGAAGAAGTTGCCAATGAAAACATTTGGCTTAGCATCGAAGCAGAACAGTGTCAGAGAAAGCGCCAGAGGGCAGGTCCCTCAGGTCAAAAGGAACTCAAGGTAGGGCTGAGGAGGAGCTGCCTTCTCAAAGTCGAGTTGACGATGATAAGGAGAATGGAAGACGCGTCTGGAAATAAAGCCTTCAGGATCTCCATGCAGTGGTGGGACCCAACGCGAAATGGGAAGAAACCACTGCACACATCAATTATTTATCAGAACTTGGGATGTACGAAGTATGAATCCAGGAAAACCAGAAATCATAAAACGCGAAATGGAATGCATTAGGATGGGTATCCTGAGCTGAAATGGACTGGACTATGCCATTCTGAACCAGAAAATCATACCGTTTACTGTGCCAGGAATGGCCCCATCAAAAGGAATGGCTTGACATTCATCATCAAAAAGGATCTTTGTTGAAGTACCATGTTGTTTGTGATAAGATTATATTTTTCCAAATTCAAGGAAATCCAATTAACACAACTAGTATTAAAATGTATGCACCAAACAGGAAAGCCAGAGATGAATCGAATAATTCTACCACGGTCTTCAGTCAGAAATTGATCAAATGGGCCATCAAGACATGTTGATAATTATTTGCAATCAATGCAAACGTTGGAAATGAAGGGGGAGCATCAGAAGTTGGTAAGCAGGGTCTCGGCGAGTGAAACAGAGCATAGCAATACCTCTTTTTAACAACCACTTGTGCATAGCAATACCTTTTTTAACAACCACTTGTGCATGGCAATACCTTTTTTAACAAAACATATAGCGACTACACATGTGTACTTTTCCAGGTGGAATACACAGACACCAAACTGACTCTGTCTGTGGAAAGAGATTCTGGAGAAGTTCAATAGCGGCAGCTACAATGAGGCCGGGGCTGGTGTGGAACAGACCACCAGCTGCTCATACAGAAGTTCACGTTTATGACACAACGTAAAGACGACTAAAATCCTCACAATTAGACCGATAGGTAACTTCATAATAAACGGAGAAAAGGCTGAAGTTTCAAGGACTTTGTCTTGCTTGGATCCTTAACAATGCTCATGGAAGCAGCAGTCAAGAGATGAAAAGATGAGTTGCATTAGGTAAATGTGCGCGACAAGACCTTTTGAGAATATTGAAAAACAAGCATGTTACTTTTAGGACTAAGATGTGCCTGACCCAAGTGGTGGTATTTTTAATTACCTAATATGCATGTGAATGCTGGATACTGAATAAGGAAGATAGAAGAAAAATCAATGCATTAGAATCGGGGTGCTGGCAAAGAATACTGAAATTCTAATGGACAGCTCAAAGGACAAACCAAGCTGTCTTAGAAGAAGTAAGGCCTCAGAGAGCTCCTTAGAGGCAAGGATGG